TACTACTACTACTACTACGTTACTATTATATACTACTACTACTACTACTACTAGTACTACTCCCTGGTATAGGGTTTGGGGTTTAGGGTCCAAACTGCTAGTATCCCCCTTTATAACCCCCTATAATACTCCCCTACCTAATCCCCCATCTAACCCCTATAGGTCAAAGAACCCAAAGTAGGTAGAATTTGTTAGTCTTAGGGCTATGCAATAAGCCCATGCCAAGGTGACCCCTTACTACTGCTACTACTATCACCAGTAAGCCCTAAACCCGCTAGTTTGTGATGTACATAACCATGCAATTGGTAGATCTGGATCCGCCCCCTTACGGCTGGGGTTGCCTGCACAAAATCCCATAGGATTGCCATGAATCAGGGGTCATGGGTTCTGATGCTGGCTCTCGAAGTTTGCGAGGCCTTGCATTGGCATACGCCATGTAATCATCGGGCTCTTTGAAATTGCTCAGAACGTTCTTGCGTTTGCGCTGGTGCGCATCCACAGGGTTATTTCGAATCATGCACCCTTCCATAGCATATGCGCGGTCAGTCAATCCGCCTCAAGAATCCAAAAGCGCCAATGATCGTCCAATAAACCCTATAAACCCTACCCCAAATCCTATCCTATAAACCGCATTCATGCCTGAAACCCCCAGAGCTCGATCTAAGTCACTTAGTATATGCTCTGGCCTGTCAGATCTAGCCAGATCACCCACATGAAGCCCCAGCCTTCAAGTTATACAGGAGTCCCAATAAGCTCAAACCTGCTGCAGGAATGCCCAACCACGCTGGATTCGAGAATTTGATCCCTGGGCTTATCCAAGTCCAAGCTCCAAAGGTGCCAAAGAGGGGTCATCAGGGTTCTCTATAGTTCCTATAGTCGTTCTCCCAAGTGTTCTGGGCTGAGGTGTTCATTGCATGTGTCCTGCTCATTCTGTGGTCTACGGAAGTGGCGCCGAAGTTCCATCTAGTGGAGATATTCTCCGGAGTGGGTGAAATTGCTAGAGTGTACAGGCGCGCAGGGCTAGCTGCAGCGGAGTACGATTTTATTCACAGCAATGATGCTATGAACTTCTTCACAGCCGCAGGCTACGCGTTCCTAGCATTGCCATTAGTCCTAATCTATCTGAATGTTCTACAACCCTATAACCCGAAGGCTCCCGAAAACCAATCCCGGAAACCTACCAGGAACCCTGGGCCCACACCCAAACTTATGCCTAGGTTGGCAATACACACCACAATGTGTCTACTTCCCTTTGGCTTACTGGTGGCGGGGCCGGATTGCTCATCGTGGACTGTTGTCAGCCGGGGCACATCGTGGAGAACTCCAGTGAACCCTGGCGGACATCTTTCTCTGGAATGGGTGAGAAACAACAATTTGGCAGTGAGTCGGCTCCTTGTGATTCTGAGATAAAAACTATTACTTTTGCAGTTCATAGCAGTTGGGGTTGCTATTAAGGCTCAGAAGTTTTCATTAGAATCTGCACGGGGTTTCAATCCTGAGGCTGACTTTGTTACTTATGCTATGCACCGTCGTGCATGCAATCTTCATTGTCGAGCAGCCGGTGTCTTCCAATTGTGTCTTTTCCCGCCACTGGCGATTTGAGAAATTCTGCAACCATACCTGTTGGGTACCTTGCCTCATTTGCTTTGGGTTCTATAAATTGGGGGATCGGTATATGCAACTACCACTATATAACCCTCTATAGACCCTAAACCAGGTATGGGCGCAGAGATTCTGGATGATGCTTTACGGGGGCCCCTGCCCAAAAAGATCCATTGCCTGGACGAATGATTATGATATTGCAGCTGGGCTTGTGCCTTTGCTGCATATCAGATTGTGTAGCATGTAGAACTGCATAGCTGTAGACGTGCTACCAATATAAATCATGCAGGCCACCTCAGTGCTGACCAAAGATGTTCGTCTTACCCAGACAAGAGTCAAGCCCACCCGAAGCTTAGCTGCAAACTTTTGGGAATTATATATATAATTGCTTCCACATGATCCGGCTTTAAGTGCCCCAGGCCGCTATGAAGCACGTGATGGCCGGGTACGATTCCAAGGAACTCATGAGCTTAAAGGAACCTCGAAGCTTGGCTTCAACATAAAATTCCGGCCTAGCTTGATCCCAGAAATAGTCGGGCTATAGTATATCAACCAGTTAACCCCGAATCAGCCCAGGGCCTATCCGGCCGGCTTTGCGGAGCGCATTTTGGACCTGCATCAAGAATATGGTCCAGGACTGCGGAGATGTCTGAGGCAAAAGGTTGTTCTTGATGGGAAGCTTACAGACCAAGAGCTGTTTAGGCAGCTACCTCTGAAAGACAAATGGGATGATGCCAAGCTGGTGGATCTGTTTTTCTACTTGATGCAGAGCCGCACGCTCTGTATACCGGATAGCTGGTTCGATACAATCATGTCCTTCCGCGATGAGCTACTGCAGTATGAACTTTGGTAGCACTAGATCTAGTGTTCTTCGCTAGACTGCTGATAGAAATCGAGCTATGCAGGGTCAACGCCTAGCTGATCTGAGGTTATCACGGCTGAAGACCTACCTGCAGCGGGTTATGCCCAGGGGATCCTCGGCTAATCTAAAGTGGGTTCAGCGGCTCCAGCAACCTGCGCATTTGATCTACTTTAAAGCTAGAACTGAAGGCCCAGCCCATCATTATGCAAATTTAGGGAGCCCAGGGGTTCATCATTATGAGTTTGGGTCATTATGACACATTATGTTTTCATAATCGTGAAAATAGTAAAAAACCACGACCTTTTTTACCCGCAAAACCGCCGCAAATTGCACGCAAAACCGCCGCAAATTGCACGCAAACACTCGCAAATCCTGATTTCTGGTTGTTTGTGTTTTTCTGGTTCTATGTTTTCTCAAACTTTTGTGTGCTGCATCTAAGGAACTGATCTCGAGTGACCTGATCTTGGCGGCATCATATGCTGATTCTTAATTCCTTTGCAGGCTCCTAAATACAAGCCTGGGGCTACCAGTGTGTGTCACAATTCGTGAGTTCCCACTGTGCTGTCAAAAGGCCTATATAAAGTTCCACAAGTTGGCGGAAGTGATTTCCCAATCATGTACAGGATCTGTAGCAATCTGGGGTTCGAGAGTTATGGTGCCCGAGAAAGAAGCCCTGCGTGGCTGCCCTACTTTTGAAGCAGGGCTGGGGTTGATAGCTGGTCAACAAGTAGAAGGCGCCATGGACCCTCAAGTTCTTGAAGCTCAGATCACAGCAACCTGTCTTGAACTCAAGAACGATAACCCTAAACCCTAGCTCAACCCTGTAAACCTTAAACCCTAAACCCTTTGAAATCCTGCTAAACATTCCTATCTGGAGCCCTAGCTTACAAACAAACCCGAGGCAGCTATGGCCCGCATCCAGGAGCTTCAGACTGAGCTTGGTGCTGATGGTGGTGTGGCCTCGCCAGCTTCGCTGCCTGGTACGCCAGGTCTCTATTCTGCATCTTCAAACCCCTAAAAATCGATGTGCCATCGAAGCCCAGACCCCTAAGCCCTAAACTCACCCAGGTACCTATGCTAAGGTGTGTGTTTGGGGAGGGAGGGGGGTCTATATCATAGGTTGTTTATCAGCTGCTTCCAGGTCCCACCGAGTTTTATTTGCCGAAGTCAGCTGGCACCTTTGCCCCCGGCCTGCTTGCTAGGCCTTTGGCGGCCAGGCAACTTAGCCAAGACACTATGAAGCTCGGTACTCAAAACAGCTTTGAGTCGGAGACGCAAGCAGCACATGTGACAACACCAGAAACGCGAGCCGGCTGCCCACTTACCACGCCAGGCAGAGAGCAGGTCCAAACAGCAGAGTGTGCCACAGAGGAAACAAGGCAGACAGCCCAGCTTCCACCACAGACCACACCAGGATCAGCCGAGACCACAGCAAGAACAGGCAAGCTCTCACCACAGACCGCACTAGGATCAGCCGAGACCACACCAGGAACAGGCAAGCTCTCGCCACAGACCGCACCAGGATCAGCCGAGACCACACCAGGAACAGGCAACCTCTCGCCACAGACCGCACCAGGATCAGCTGAGACCACACCAGGAACAGGGCCTAGCACATCAGTCGAGACCACAGCGCAGGCTACACTAGAGTCGGCAATGGGTGGTTTGCGTATAGATAGTCCGCTACAGCCACGGCAGCTTCTTGCGAGCCCCTTGCAAAGTATTAATCGATGCTACTACAGTATGTGCGTGAGTGCATGCATTCCCCTGTCCACGTGTGCATCTCAGGCAATGGACGCGCAGACTCCAATGTCTGGGAGCACGATCGACAGCCTGACGCAGATCAGCTTTCAACATACGGTTCCCACAAGGAAGATGCAGTGGCCCGAATGCCAAGTGAGATCTCACCCGATCAGAGTCCAAACTCCCAGGCCCTGCTGACCAAGAAGTCGGAGCTAGCCAGTCCCCCCCCAACTCAGGTCATGCGAGAAATGATAGATCCGACTGCAAGCGCAAGCCCAATCAAGCCAAGCCCAATCAAGCCAAGCCCAGCCAAGCGAACCTCCGGGAAATGCAGAAGCAGCCCAGCAAAGTTCAAGCCCAGCCCATCAAGAAGCAGACATAATTTCGACCGCCGAGCGCCGCCGCCAAAAACTGGTTCTTCGATGTACAGTGATGGGATGTACTGGAAGAAGCTAGCTAGCATCAATTATGGGGATTGGGTGATGAGAACTATAGGTCCACTGAAGCCCTGCAACCCCAAACCTTATTAGGAATTAGTGGCCTCGATCTACACCCCCAAACCCAGCCCAAACCCTAAATCCCCAAATAAATGCTAGCTGCCTAGGATCCGAAGACACTTCCAGCCGAACTCCAAGGGCCAGATCAAGGCGAGTCAGGCTGCCCAAGATCTCCATAAAACTCCGGATGGAAGTAGCATGGTTACATTATGGACTGCGCTACTATGGCTATCATAGTATAGGCCCGGGATATGCTATATTGTACCAAGGAGAGAAATTGAGGAAAATGCTTCTCGAACATGGTTCCTTTGATGCGGTTGAGATTCAATTGAAGAAATGGAAGGAGGAAAAGGAGGAGGAAGAGTTAATGGGCGGGTGGCACACGCAAGTGAGCCTCGAGATGGAGAATTGGACGGAGTGTTTTGACAGCAACCATTAGTGCATTTCCTACTTATGCTTATAGGGCCCACCCCTTATTCATCTAATTACGCATCCACTAAGGGAGATGATCAAGAACTCCAAACGATGGGCTCAAGCCCGAAATTTGCTGCGCAAGAACAAAGTCCACGGCGCAGAAGAATGGAGGATCCCTACGAAATCTACCTTCAAGTTCACCACTACGAAGGGCCAATCTTCGGAGTTTCAGGGGAGTATGGACCTGGAGGAGATTTAGCTTGCGTGCGATACCCCCTCAATGGCCCCATGCATTATATATATTATAACCCTGTAAACCCTAAACCCTAA